TATTTTACGCCTTTCCAGCTGTAAAATGGCAGTAAAAATTCAAAGCAAAAAAGACGAATTACAGTGGAATGCTCAAAATCCTTGGTATCCTGATTAAGCATAAACCAGATAAAGAACATAAGCAGTGCTAGCGCGGGTTAAACCGGGGCGATCGGCAAAATGTTCGGGCTCGACTAGGTCTTGCAATTACTTTTGAGCGGGCTTTTAATTTGTGTCCAGGCTCCTTTTCTCTGCATCTTCTCTGACAGCAACAATGAAAGCTCGCTAAAAATCATGCAGATTTTGAATGCCGGGGAACTTTGATGCAAATTTTGCTTAGTGGTAGAAATAGCGTGGAAAAAACAGTTTCAGCTCACTGCGTACTTTAGTAACCACTTAAAGTTGCTTGCAATGTTTAGTGGGCTGAACGCGTTGCCCGCAATGTTCGGTCTGGCATATCCGGCGGTGGGGATATCCTCGTGATAAAATCAGGTAGTGGTGGTCGGGCACTCACTATCATATGGGTGGTTTGTTGTACGGAGTGCGCCACCACCGCGCAAATATCGGCGCGAGTTTTCATGGCTTTGTTGGAATCAACAAAGCAATGGGACGTATCCAAGCGTGGTGTTAGAATGTGTGTCCCACGGCGATGCGTATGGAAGTGGTAGTAAGTGACTGTGGCAAATGGTAAGAACTGACTGTACCGGAAGAATGAACCCAGGAGGACAACGGGGAGTCCCGTGCGATCATGCGTTTTTGCACCGCACTTGAATTACCCAGGTCGTTAACTTTACGAATGGCTGTTGCTTTACACCTACCTGTTGCGGTCACTAGCATAAATCACCATAAATTTTGCAAAGTAAACGTACAATTTCCATTTAACAGTCGTTCTTTAAAAGTAACCTGGTCGGTTCAGTGAGAAGTTTTTTCGTCAACACTTTAAGTGCCTATAGGTAAGAACCATGCATACCTCAAGGCTGAGTTTGAAAAACTTAAGTTGTACTTGAACAGGGAACACTCCCTCAAAATTTCAGCTTTCCAGCTTTTCTGATTATCGAGTTAGCAGTTTTCCAGCTAAAACCTTCACATACCCGTACTTTGGAACTTCACGTGCTTGGAAAGCTGAATTTGAAATTTTTAATTTGCATGTGGGCAGGGAATATCCGCCTAAAATTTTAGCCTTCCGGTTCTTCTGATTGACGAGTTAATAATTTTCCTGCAGAAACTTTCATACGTCCTTACGTGAGTATAATGCATAGCTTGGGTCTGATCACGAAATATTTGAGTTGTACTTGGATGGGGAACATTCCTTCAAAATTTCAGCTTTCTAGCTTGCCTAGTACCCGAGTTAGCAACTTCCCTCCGAAAACTTTTGTACGCCTCTACGTGAGTACAATGCATAGCCTGGGGCTGAGTTTGAAATATTTGAGTCGAACTTGGATAAGGAAAATTCTCCCAAAATTTCGGCTTTCTAGCCTTCCTGGTGCCCGAGTTAGCGATTTTCTTCCAAAAACTTTCATATGCCTCTACGTGAGTACCACGCATACCTGGGAGCTGAATTTGAAATATTTAGCTAATACATGCACAGGGAATATCCCTACAAAGTTTCAGCCCCTTAGCTCAAGTGGTTCCCGAGATCGCTTTCCCTCCAAAAAATTTGCATATCTTTTTAAGGCTTCCCCGTACGCGGCACCCAGGCTCCATGGGGGATGAAATTAAAACGGGAGGGTAGCGCATGTATGGGCATACTGCCAAAGTTTCAGCCTTCTAGTTTTTCTGATTCACGAGTTGAAACTGGGTGACAAAAAGTTCAAACACAGACACACACA